TATGAGAGACTATTTGCCACTGTAAAACTCACGTGAAGGGCACGTGTGAAATTCCAGTCAAAATGGCATAAAATCCCATTTTGAGGCACCGTGCAACAAAAAACGTAGTTCGGGTAAAAATGTGCAAAAAAAAATTATTTGGGGGACAAAGTGCAAAACGAGCTATAGTTTAGGGACAAACTGTTTTTTACTCTATAATAAACTCGTATGCAACTATGCTTAGCTTGTTTTTTTTCTCCAATATATATAGGAGAATTGAATTCTTAATAGACGACCGAGAGTGACTTAATACTATGGTTTGCAATTAATCTTTATAGATTTCATATTTTAGAAAATATTCAAAAAGGTTCTACAAGACAATAAAAAGATTCTAATTCATTAGAAACGGGATATGCATTGGACGAGCTAATAAAACTTAATAGCTTAATACTTGGATGTAGGGGTGGACATTCGGGTCGGGTCGGGTTATTCGGGTCGGGTTATTCGGGTTTTTTGCAAAAAAAGAATTACCCGAACCCGACCCGAGATAACCGGGTACCCGGTTATTTCGGGTCGGGTTCGGGTTTTGCTATTTTCCTTTTTTTTTTTTTTTTTTTCTTTTTCGAAATTTACTTAAGATAGACATACATATACAGACATATATATATATATATAAATTCAACCGGGTACCCGGGTAGGATTTCTAATACCCGGACCCGACCCGGTTTGGGAGCACCGGGTACCCGAACCCGGGAAAAACCCGGTTACGTCAAAAATTACCCGATCCGGTCGGGTAATACCCGACCGGGTCGGGTAATACCCGACCGGGTCGGGTTGTACCCGAATAACCCGACCCGAATGCCCACCCCTACTTGGATGGAACCCACCGGCTCGCTCACTTGTCGATGGACCTTAAAGTCAACAACTGAGCCTATCCGAACATACGAAATATTGTGGGCCCGCCTGATGAAGTCAATTGCCTTGTCACTGAACGTGCGTATCTTGGGGTCGATCATCGAGTACTCCTTGAGACGGAAAGTCAACCAACAATGAACGGTGCCGGAGATAGTGCATTTTCCTCTTAAATCGTCTATCACAACATCTAATACCTTCGAGTCAATGATTTGTTCTCTATTATGATTCCACTAGAAGAATCTTACACAAATTCAGAAATAATGTTAGACAAATCAAACATATATAAATAAACAGATATGAATAAGAATGAAAGATTGAAAGATAATATATAATGAAACACAACTCAGTTTTCCAAACCGATTCACACCAGAGATTCACAGAGATCTCAAATCTTAAACACACACACATACTACGAACAGAGAACAGATTTCTCTCTGTCTCGAACCCTAACCCACACATATCAGAGGTAAAACCAAGAAAACGAGGCACTCAGCAGCTCACCCACTCACCACAGACCCAACTCACAGAAAAAAGGGGTAAGGCTTTCAAACTAGGGTCTTTCTCTAGGTCTTATCTTCTGCCACTTCATTCCCCACATTAAATAGGTGCTCCACTCAAAGGTAACCGTTGAAGGGACCACCACGGGGACAAGCACGGCCAAGGAGGGCAGCGTTTGGCCCGTGGTTGCTGGGGCAAAAGGAGTAAAGAGCAGAAGGGGACAAAGGGGAAGAACACAAAACGAAAAAGGAGAGTACTAGGGGAGAGGGAGAGTCAGAAAGAGTCAATGACCAGGATCAAATGGATTAATCCAACGGCTCAGATTAATCCTTCCAGCACATTCCCACAAGTGGGCTTTATTCACTGATGGGCCATTCTTTAGTAATGTGTGTATTGTCATGATGAATGTGATTTTGATCCGGAAGATGACGGTTCTCTCTAAACCAGGTGTCTATTCGTAGTCGTACGATAATAGTAGTTCTTCCTTGATCGAGAAATCGTATCCGCATTCGTAGCCCGCCACTCTAGTTGCCATATGAAAAATCAAGAAATCAAGTCAAATTTGTGGTGAGAAAAAAAAACCAAAATAGAAGAAAAAAAAATCATAGAACTAAAAATTTAAAATTTGGCTTACCTCGTTCTGAAAATTTGCATTCCGAATTCTGAAAGATCCGAGATCTATTTTTTTCGATTTTCTTCGAACGACATTGTAAGACATATTATATTTCAGTTTTCAATCCAATGTTATAATTATGTATTAAGAATACTAGGGCAATGTTTGGAAGCGTTTTGAAACTTATTTTGATTTCATTTTGAGGAAATATGTTTTGAGAGACGAATTTGAGAATAAAAGAAATGTTTGTTTATATTTTGGAAGGAGACAAATTTAAATACACTGTAGCAGTCACATCATGTTTAAAAGTGTTAGAAAAAAATATTTTAGAAGAAAAAAAATAAAAGCTGAAGTGATGTTTATTTATTTTTTAGTGAAAACATTTTTTACTGTAGCAGTCAAATCATTTTACTGTAGCATGTCACATCATGTCTGAGGAAGAGAAACTTTTGAGATTGTTTTGAAAAAATTATTTGAGAAGTTTAATAAATATAATTTTGTTTTAGGGAATCAATGAAAACAAAATAAAAACATTACCGAACATTGCCTAGAATTCCGCCAATTCTAGTAAAAAAATCAATTTTGGATTAGTTTCTTCACTCCAATTCCTAAATTTTTTGAATTTTTTTTAACGGATTTTTTTTAACAAGAACATTTCAAAAGCGCGCGTCTGAAAATGCGATTTCAGTGAGTGAAATTCGAGGCTGATGACGTCATCAGAAACATTTCTCTCTCTCTCTATCCTCTCCCTTTCTCTCTCTAAAAAATGAGGAAGAAGCGAGTGGTGATAGTGGGAGGCACAGGCTACTTGGGGCAGCACCTTCTGCAATCTTTCGCCGACGATCCAGTTGCAAATTCCACCTTCTCACTCGCATTCACGCATCACTCCGTTCCTCCATCTCACGCGCTTCTCAATGCCGTTCCTCACGCTCTCCCTTTCCACGTCGATCTACGCTCCGGCGACGGCCTCAGTGCCATCTCCGACGCATTCGGACAGGTTTCAATTTCCCCAATTTAGCAACTAATATTTAATTTTTTTGTTAGTGACTGAGTTTATTTCTTCAATTTATGCAATTGATTTTGTATTTTGTATGCAAATGCAATTGGTGGTGTGTTCATTCAATTTTTTCATATAAGTTGATGAGATTCGTATAAATTTTTAGGTGATTCCTAATTTGAATATGGTAGAAATTTCCGGAAAATTAGAAACATGTTTCGATACCAAAATTCCGAAGATTTTGTTCTTCACATGATTAGATTAATCAATTGCAAATATAGTTCATGGTAGATTTCGGGCTTTATTCGTAAATTGTAATAGCTGTATCTGATTTTTAGCCTGACGTCGTGATAAATTGCGCTGCGCTTTCCGTCCCTCGCGTGTGCGAATTGGATCCGGAAGCAGCCATGTTGGTAAATGTTCCTACGTCTCTCGTGAAGTGGCTATCTAGCTTCGGAGAGGCTACTCTTCTGATTCATTTGTCAACCGATCAAGGTTCGTTTAGGAATTTACTCTCTACTTAATTGTACATTCACCTTCATTTTCTCGTTTTGTTGTTTTACGTTTTTGAGATCTTTCAGTCGGTATAGACACTGCAAAAAAAAAAGGTGGTTTGTTTTCTTATACGAGTCTATTTATTGGCTTCGCTGTAATCGAAAGAAATAAGAAAATTTCAATTCACAATATTGAAAATGATTTGGATATTTCTGCAGTTTATGAAGGGACGAAATCGTTCTACAAAGAAGAAGATGAGGCTGTTCCTGTGAATGTTTACGGGAAATCTAAAGTTGAAGCAGAGCGTTTCGTATCGAAGTACTGCCAAAACTTTGCGATTTTGAGAAGCAGTATAATATATGGACCTCAAACTATCTCCCCTGTTCCTAAATCACTTCCAATCCAGGTATATATACATGCTACTTTCTCGTATTTTAGTAACTTAATAACTGCTTTAAAGTAAATTCAAGCTCCATGAAAGAGCAACCGCCGTAATTGAAGCTCCAATTTACTCAGTCGCTCAGATTGAATAATCTAGAATAATCTATTTTAGTTATTTTTCATCCTCATCTGCATTGTTTCTTGGGATTCTAGAATAATCTAGAAGTTTCTGGTGCAGTGGATGGATGGTGCCCTTGCTAAGGGAGAGACGATGAATTTCTTTAACGACGAGTTTCGTTGCCCTGTATTTGTAAAGGATCTTGTTTCTATCATACAGTTCCTCACTAATCAATGGATCTCGGGTTGGCCTTATTTCTTTCTGCAAAATTTTAGTTAGTTTTTATATTTTACATTTTTATTTTTTTTTCGTATTGAGATGATGCATTTGCAGAGGGTAAGCAAGTCCAGTTGCTTCTAAATGCCGGCGGACCAGATAGGGTTTCGCGGGTTCAAATGGCTGAGGCTGTTGCACTTGTTAGAGGTTATAGTACCTCGTTAATTAAACCGGTGCCTTCTTCATCGGTATTTTTCTAGAAAGACTTTGGCCTATATATATATATATATATATATATATATATATATATATATAAATATATACTACTTCTCAAATAAGTCGCTTCCAACATTATCCATATTTTTTTTCCGAGTTTTTAGGTCGATCGTGGTGTGAAATCCCCTTCTGATATTTCCATGGACATCGGTAAGCTTATTCAGGCAACAGGAATTTCTCCAACTCCTTACACAGAAGGTGTCAAACTGACGCTGTTGGCCGAAGGTAGTTCGTAGTTTTGGAGGTTCTTATAAAAAAAGGTACGATTTTCTTCGTTAGGTAGTTGTTTATGATGTCGTTGTCTTGTATAAGATGAGAAACATCCAATTTGAAGGAAACTTCTTCCTTTCCCAATGTTGCCGAATTTGTGAAATTTTCAAATGATTTCATATAAAATCTCGTAAATTTATGACTGAATTTAACCTAAACCTCCTCTTAGATAGTGAATGATACATTTTGGAAGTTATACATATGTAACTTTCAAAATATCGAAGAGATATTGAGAAGAGTCTTAAAATATGACTAATTTATCGAAGCCTCTCTCTCTTAGATGAAGTACCACTTCTTAGATCTTAGGTGGAGAAGTAACCACCTCTGAAAAAGTAACTAAACCTCTCTTTCTTAGATGGTTCCGTGTACACTGTTACAAAATTCATTAGATTTCTGGATGAAATTTGATGAAGCCATCAAAAAAACCATAAAAAATGTTAAGCTATTTTACCATTTTCACCCTTTCGATTAATGTTGTCCATTTTGACAATATTGATGATTGTTTTTTTTTTTTTTTTTTTTTTTTTTAACTGGAACAAGCGATAATTATCTTAAAAACTTAAAACCATAGTACTATTACAAGGATTAGATGTTCTACGAGAGTACACTGAGAAAAGGTCTTGATACATATGATAATCTAAAAAATTGGGGCAACTATCGTACAACAAAATTTCATCCGTAGCTAAGGATGACCCCAGTTTAGCTAATACATCCGCTACATTGGTAAGTTTCCGATAGCAAAAGTTAACCACCACTTACGAGAATTCAGACAGTATTCCACGAAGGTCCTTCAGAAGAGTTTGTAGGCTGCTGGGAGGAGCTTCCTTCTTTAACAAGTCGGTTTATATCAAGTTCCTTTGCTTTTTTTTAACCCAAAGTATAGAGCCCACATTTCTGCTGAATAATTAGTAGTATGACCAATATTCTTTGCAAATGCCACTATAAATGCTCCTGTATTATCTCTGTAATACCGCCTATGCCGGCTTTTCTGGGGTTCATGAGGGCTGAGCCGTCGATATTTAGTTTGTACCAATTAGTTGGTGGAAGCTGCCATCGAAGATTAATTGTAATTTTGTTATGTTTAGGTGGTATACTGGGATGAAACTGTTCTTCACGAGGAGCCATCTGATAATATTGATGATTGTTGTTTGTTTGTCAGATGTGTCAAACTAACAACATAAGAGAAAGAGAGTATATTGTTACACCTGAATTGTTATAACTAATAAAAATCTAAGAATGATTAATCAGTTTGAATTTCTTTCAACTTTACCAAATTCTCTCTCATTTACAGTATTCGTTTAAAAAAAAATCATAGTAACAAATTTACTAACAATTTAAATGTAAATGGGTTCACTTATTTTGAGAAAGTTGTGTGCATATGAATTAAAGGTGAAAGTTGTGTGCATATGAATTAAATGGTCAAAGTATTATTTCATAATTTAAATCGTTTCAGATCCCCTCATTTGACTTGCCGTTTGTTAGCAATTACGTCACACAGACAAAAATAATTCATTCGAAGTTTGTTGATCAATGAAACTGCCCAAATAGTAGAGTTCAGAATTTACTTGTGAAAGCTGTACCGACAGAATTGTTGCGTTTCAGTTTCTGATTATGGTTGCCATATTGTAGAAGATTTCATCCATTATTTGTATTGGAATGTCCGAACTAATAATCTAACAAGATTTAATCCACCTGAACTGCTTTATCTTTTACCAATCTTTTCTTTCATTTTATAATATCACTGTCTGAGTTTCAATAAAAATCATAGCCTACTAACAAATTTAGTAATGATTTAATTAGAAATGGGTTGACTTGTTCAATTGGGATGAAAATTTGGTGCATATAAATTAATGCTGAAAGTTGCCTGCATATGAATTACAAAGATGAAGTGAGGGGGAACGTCTCATTAATGAAAGATCGAGATCGATCTAATACCATGGTGTGCAATCAATCTTTGTATATTTCATAATTCAGAAAATACTAAAAAATGTTCTACGGAGACAATAAAAAGATCCTACAATAATACTACAAAATAAATCCTATAATCTCATACTATCATAGGAGAAAAACTCATCCTATAATCTCATACTATCATAGGAGAAAAACTCGAAATCCCTAGAGACGGGTTATGAATTGGACGAGCTAATAAAACTCGGCCCCATAAACAAATCAACAATGGCACATAATCTTGAAATCTCGCACAAATCCAGACATGTAAGTTAAGGTTCAAGAAATGATTAAAAAAAAGAAGTAACATCTCACAAGTTGTAATTAACAAGCTTAATCACAAACATTAAAACATTAATAATCAACAGAAGATTGTTTCCATCCTCCCAAATTCTCCTCCTCTGCAAATTCCCCTTCTCTGCTTCCCTGCAATCACAACCACTTCATTAGTATGAGGCACCAATGTACAAACACAACACAGCACAAAGTACAAGCATAACAATCATGTAATTGACAAAAAAAGGGAAAATTACAGTTTACATCCCTCAAGTTTTCACCAATTTCACATTTGGTCCCCCATGTTCAAAAAAAACACATGTGGTCCCTCGTATTACAATAATTTAACACTTTTGGTCATTTACGTCAATTTACCGTTCGTCAGTTAAAGCAGTGATGTGCACAAGCTTCATTCCGTTAGTACTAATGGAAAATTGACATAAGAGACTAAAAATGTTGAATTTTTGAAATATGAGGGACCAAATGTGTTATTGATGAACATTGATGATCAAATGTGAAATTAGTGCAAACTTGAGAGATGAAAATTGTTGTTTTATAACCTGATGAGTGAATTTGAGGCCAACTTTAATCTCTCCACAGTATTTCTCATCCTTGACCACATTGTACGACATCGGTGGAACTCTCTCTTCATAAAACGCCGGTTCTAGCGGAATCCTACGATATTCCAACAAAATTCAAGTATATTCGAAAATTAACCAATCACGTGAACTAGAATTTAGTCGAAGCAAACCATATATACAGTGGCAAAGCCATAATTTTATTTTAAGGAAATTAATCAAATCGTGTAAACAAGAAAATTTATATTCTTACGTTGCTTCTCCAAGAAAGTCGTCTGTAGTAAAAGTGTCCTTATCCATAATCTTGATCTTCAACTCGGTAACACCGCTAGAGATGGTGAACAAGAAAGTCTCGTTCCAGTCAGGCGAGTTCCTTCGCCTGTATGTAACAATTATAGTCGAGCAGT